AAATGCTAATGAAACCTGCTAATGTCTAAAGCATGTGTGGCTTTTTCTTTAATACATTCAGCATTTTTCTAAACATTTTTTGACATTTGTATTTAATTATGCACTCTTCTACTGACTTTGTCGCTCAGAACTGACTTCAGTCATGAATCAAAACTAGTAAGGAGTTCTGCTCTGGGATCTGGTGTGTGAGGGAGACAGAGCTGCTTATGTATCATGGCCTTTTCTACTAGGGAGTAGATCTTCCCCAATTATTTGGTCTGCAACTTGCTTACTCTTCCATGGCAAAGCCAGGACTTTTGCACTGGCAAGAAGACTCAAGCCTGAGATGTGATATTCCTAAGGCTTTTAGAGCCAAGGAGCAGCAAGTAGTCACAGAGGACTGGTGACTGCTGTCCTTCTTCTGTTCCTCCAAGCTGATTTGGAGAAGGACTAATCCCCTCTATGTGAGGAGAGGCAGTGTGGTATTTTTTTGTGTGAAGGACACTGGTTGCTATCATGCTGGCCCTTTTAATTCTGTGTGTCAAAGTGATTTGATATTGTATGTATTCTTGGTAATTTATTTTCAGAAATATGCTTGGGTCAGTTTATTGCTTGCTGGGAATTAATTTGATACTTCAAAAGTGCATGATGCTCTTAATTAACTGCTTGCACTTTAGTTGCGGAAGAAGTTCTACAAAAATAATGGAAGGTAACCAATGCAGTCATCTGCAGGTTGTTCTAATTTCATTTGAATTACCTCAGTCAGTGGTGAGGGAAAAGCTAGAAAATGGGTGATTGAGGATATAAATTGTTGGTCTTGGCTGTGATCATTTGGACATTGGGCTGATTATTGGTGAACATGGTTGGGTAGGGGAAGGGTAGATGTACAAGAGAAATTATTTGAAAATCGTTGATAGAACTTGCTAGCAGTGATAAAGCAGGAAGAATGGAATGAAGGAAGTCTTGGAAATACTGGGCAAGATCTCTTAAAGGCTGTATGGACTGGAGTAGGTGCATTGGGAGACCCAGAAGAAAAATACGGGAATTGTCCCACTGAAGTTCTGCAACTCCAGTAAAGATTTTGGTTAAGAGCTTGTGTTTTGCAAAATTTTATAATTTAGACAAAACCTGATTGTTAACCACAACTTTGGAATGATGCTTGAATTGGCCTCGTAAAATCAGTTTGTGCATCTTGGTATAATAATTTTATAGATATAAAGAGTTGAGCTTCAATCTACATTTTCACATGAACACTTTCCTTTTTGAAAACTCTCCTAATTGTTTTTTAAAACTGAAGAAAGGAGTTAAATGCTAAGCTAAAGTAAGTTCTTGGCTAAACAGTGTGTGGGATTCAGCGGATTCACGGATGCATAATTGTACTGATAGGACAAATGGCTGTGTATGTCTTTACAAATGACTTGAGAACAAGGATCAGAAAGAATGGGTGTGGGGATAGATGAGGTAGGGGAGATATGTAGTAATAGGATTGGGAAGGCTGTACCTTCCTAGTACCTCAGCCAATGGGGAGAGGAGGAGGGCAGCGGGCAGCAGGAGTTTAGGATAAAAGGAGGCTGGGTCCTCCAACAACTCAAGAGATCCCACAGGGGTATGGCCCAGTGAACTCTCCCATTATTTGAATAAAGTTGGTTTCTGCAGGGCTCCTCTGTCTCCTTTGTGGACACAGGCCTTTGGCAGTGTGATTTTCCACACAGTAAGGATTTATTTATATTTAAGCAGTTTCCTGCATTCAGATTGTGCCTGTCTCTTGTATAAGTACTGAACCACTCCCTCCCCCATAATTTCACTATAACTTTAGAAGCTACAAATCCTTGTGCTCGGGTTGGCCACTGACTTTTAGTAGCCAGTCATATGGTATAGATTTGAAAAGCTGACGCAAAATGGAGCCATTCATCTCCTCCCTATTACAGGCTGCTGAAAGCATATTGCCCTGAAGTTCTCTCATTGCACTGTAGCCCCGCTGAGCACCGAGGCAAGTTCAAGGTTTTGGTTTTGGTCTTACACTTTACAATGCTTGGTGGCAGCAGCCCAGGCTGCCTGAGGGAGCACCTTCTGCAGTCACGGCCGCTCATGACAGCTGCATTCCTCTGGAACAATGGCATTGTTGGTGAAATGGGGAATGAATGGGAGAGACAAACTGCTTCTGCAGCTAGCCCACAACTGAGGGATTGATTCCTGGAACACATCAGAGCAACTATAAACCTCCCTGTCCTCGGAATTAAGTGAAAATTCACTTGCTTCAACCTCGCCTTTCCACAATGACCAGGGGAAAAAAAATCCCTAGGGCATAGATGAGGATGATTTCTGTTTCCGTTTTAAAAGCCCAAATAACAAAGTATATGAAAGTATAGGGTAAGAATAGGGTAAATTTTGTCCGCTCTCCTGTGCAGTTTTTGGTAGTCTACCTCATAACTCCTCACAACCCCTCACAACTTTCACTTGGCTGGCCAGCAGTAAAAGTGTTACTTAAGCTTGGGGTTTTTTGGGTGAGAAAAAATCCCAATCGAAGAGGAGACAATAGAAAGTCAACTCAGAAAAATGTTTCCAAAATTTTTTGTTTAATTTTTTCTGCTTCCCTCTTTCCTCTGCACATCTATTCTTAATATACTTCAAATTTACAGTTGTATTATATATTGTTGAAATGCAGGAGTCTAATTTATTAACTAATTTATTAACTCTCACTTTAATTGTCTTGGCTTTGCCATGGAAGAGTAAGCAAGTTGCAGACCAAATAAATGGGGAAGATCTACTCCCTAGTAGAAAAGGCCATCATACATAAAGGCATGCACAGATCTCATCATACACAAGCAGCTCAGTCTCCCTCGCATGCCAGATCCCAGAGTCTAATTTATTAATTCTCACTCTGTTTGCAGGAGTGTTGCAGTTGCTCTTGGGGCAAGAACCTCACTGATCTGTTTCAGCTTACATTTAAATTATAGATCAAATATCCACAAGAAAATACCTGCTACAATTTTTTCCAGAAAAGCATTGGACAATATTGATAGCCCATTTCACTGTTGTTAACCTTTTGCTTGATAGTTCAGTTTTGAGCCTGAGCCTAAAGAAACTCTGAATCAGTTCACAAATAGCTAACAAATGGCTCAGTCTTCAAAACCAGAAGTCCACCAAAGAACGGGTGTCATTAGAGGGTGACTAGAGCCCAAGTGTCAGGGGTGCCAGAGGAAGGTGGTGGGTGTCACGTTCAGAACAAGAGGAGGTGGTTCTTTGCACAGTGTGTGGCTAAGCTCTGACATTCTACACCCGATGACATGACAAACACTGCGAGTTTCTCTGGGGCCAGGGAGACAGCAGTGCGGAAAACCGAGCCAGAACTATAAACACAGCATGCAGACAGGAGTAGTCAGGAGTGGTAGGTGTTCCAGGGTTGTGTTCTGATGCCATTCTGTAAGCATCTTTGGTTTTAGTCAATACTGCACAGAGTGCTTAGGGGATCACTGATCTGGCACAATTTTTATGTTTAAAAACTTTTAAACATTAAAATTTCTTTTAAACATAAAATGAAGTATTTTAAACATCTTTTAAGAGGAGAGTGAGGGGACTGACTAAGCTTACAGAGACATCAAACCTAAAGCTGGCTGTAAAGCAGCTTTAGTGCAGAAAATCTTGCAGTTCTTGTACCACTGAGTGATAGAATGGCAGAGGAAATTCAGAACTGATAAATGTGAAATAATGCATGTGCACTAATTATATGTGTGCAGTGATGTGCTCTGTTTTGTCTATTAACACTCAGAAATTGTCCTGTCCTGTGAATAGTTATATGAAAATGTTAGCTCAATACTCAATAGGGGTCAAAAAGGCAAGCAGAACCATTTTAGGAAAAGATAGAAAAGCAAAAAGTTAAAAAAAAAGAAAAGTGGAAAAAAAGAGAAAATTCCATCAAACTGGGGTATGAATCCATGGAAATCTTCAACATTGCATGCATTTTCAGCCACTTTATAAAAAAGAAGGTAGAGTAGAATTAAAAAAAAAAAATCCAACCTCAGCAAAGAAACAAGAATCATGGAATACTTTTCATATAAGAACAGAAATGTTTTTTCCCTTAAATAATAGATTCCAGGGGAGAGGAGTTGATAGCTCTTTACAGAGAGATAAATATTGGATGGAGGTCACACATAAAACAATTTCTTTCCCTTTAATAAACCACAAATTAAATTTAAATCTTCAGGATGAAAGCTTAAAAACGAGCAAGAGGAGGTACTTCTAAAGGGAAAAAACTCCACAAATGAAGGTGGTGATGTCACTTCTGGTTCAGTAAAACCCTGAACTGGCTCTGGCCAGGAATGGTACTATGCTTTCCCCAAAGGGAAGCTGTTGGCCCCTGTCAGGGGTGACAGAGTTGGTGGAATTGCAGCCTGTTATGGGGAACTCAGCCGTGACATCAGGAGAAGTTGCTGTGATGCTCCCCAGTGTGACCTGTAGTGGAGGAAGCATCTTGTGCACAGGATGTGGTGTGTGCCTGTAACAGTTGAGAAAAGGAATGTTTTGTTTCTGAATATAAGGAAATGGAAGTGAATCAAATTCCATGTGAAATCATACAGAAGACCATGGCCTGGTTTGTTACCTGCCACACTTTGGTTTGATGGGTGATTATAATATCAAAATTTTATAAGCTTTCTGTTGGCTGTGGAAGATGGTCACTGGGATGGTCCAAAGCCACATAGCCTAAGGTGCATCTTATTGTCAGTGTACCCATTTACATCCCTAAGCCTTTAAAATGCAAGACAGGAATGAAAAAGGTTTTTTTACTGACCTTCTGGGTATATTAACTTCATGGTCTCAGGGGAGAACCTAGCAACAAAGACAGTGTTGTGAATGCATGTGTGTATAGTGTGTTAGATGCATTTCCTGGACCATAGGCTAATAATAAAAAGAGAAAATGAAACTTATAAAGTTATTGTTTATTGTCTGCAAGATTTAATCACTCACACTGGAAGTAACTTTACTCTTACCAGTGTGTTCTTTTTCCTCTTTTTTTTTTTAAGAACACCGGTATGAAGCAAGTGAGATAATGCTGAAATATGTGTTTTCTAATGCCTACCTGCTCAGCACCTGTTAGAAAATACCAGGAAGCTGTCCCCATGGAAAATGTCTCCTGAATCAGACTGAAGGCAATAAGAGAGTCTGTGGTTAAAACTGCCTACAACCAAGTTCTGAGAATTGGTGTTGAGACTCCCATCTTCAAAAAAAGCACAGTAAGTAGATAATGAGGAGTTTAGTCCATATACAAATAACAAAGATTCTCCATGCAAGTACTTTTTATAATTAACAGACAATGCTAAGTGGTTTTTAAGTCATAAAATAATAGTAAAAGGTATCTGGTGTATGTGTACTGGTTTGAGTAATTTCTTTCTTCAAGTTACTGGATTGAATTTATTTTTTCCTTTAAACATAATGTCACACTTATCTCCTGTATGTAGGTCTTTGCTGAGGCCTGTCCATTTTTGTCAGACAACTGATTTTTGACTTTTCCATTGGAAGGCCCAGAAAAATGTGCAGTGGTAGAAGGAAGAGCAAATTTAAACCTGTGAGAGTTCTCTTGGTGATTTTGTGGTACTTGAGTCCACTAATGCTTTGAGGGTCTCTGGAATTTGAAATAACTTATTTTGATTCCTAATGCTTATAAAATAAATAAATGAGTCTTCCAAACCCCTTCTCTGCATGGACACTAACAGTTTATGCCAAGTACATTGCTGAATTTGCCAGTACCATGCTTGGCACGTTTTATTCATGCATTAACTAGAGATTTTCTTTCAAGTAACTTGCTGGCATATATGTGATTGGCTATGGAAGATGGTCCGGCCATGTGTGAGTCTTCACCCCACAGATGTACTCCTTCTGTCATGTGATTGTCTCTGATGGGCAATATGATTTGTCCTAAGACAAGATACCAGGAGGAACTCTCTGGATCATCTCATAAGGAATATATTCACTTTTAGACAGGTGAGTAAAACTGCTAAGATACGGTCACATGTGGAGATAAAATCATTAAGTAGCTCTATAGGTGCTTTGTTATTGTGTGTTCTGCAAAGCCAAAGACTGCAAACCTGTAGATTTCTAGCTCAACCTGCTTATATTGTTACCCCTTAGGCCTGCTTATATTCTACACCTCATAGACAATATTTAGATATTGTATTAGCAATAAATCTAATCACAATCATCCATGTAATCAGTGGTGTATTTCTGGTGCCTGACTGAGATAGTTCTCTTCTACTACTCTGTTACAATATATTCAATCAAATTTAGTTATTCTGGACCAAGAGAATCTGTTTAAGTTTTCCTTTCTGCAATACTAAGAAAGTTATGAACTAGTAAGAAAGCTTACCAGTTCAAATATTACTCCATGAATTCTTTATTGTTAAAACAAATTACCTATTCCTATTACAAATTACCTATTACCTATTTCCTTTTCCTTTCCCTTTCTCAGAATTTAGTCAATTACTAGACACCTTTACTGGTTTGGTCAGTAGATCAGACATACTGGTCTTTGGTTTGTTGGATCCTTCTTGAAGTCATTAAAGATCTTTCATGTCCAGTATCTGTCATTTCCATAGACTGAAACAGACTGAACTTATATGACACACACGATAGTTTACAATTTGGGGAAAAGTACTTCTACATCTTTGGTTTTGTCCTAACCTGTCACAATACACTATTCAGCTGACTCCAGATTTTGGCTGAGTGTTCAAACTCCACTGGCTTTATAAAGAGCTTCCAACAATGTAACTGCATTACATGTAATTAAAATAGGGTAAAACCCCCACAGCTTAAACCAACCAATAAATCCAAAAGGTAGGGAGGTCATGAGAAAAGACCCAGACTCCTTTTCCCAGAGTTCCTTCTGGTAGTCAGCTTGTTGAAGAAGGAATATGCTTAATAACCTCACAGCATTTTGAATTTCTCTGTAAAATGTTTTTTTTTAGTAAAAGTTGTCTTTGCTCATCAATTTTATGCAATTCTTCCACTGTTTTTTTTTTTTTTTAATCTGAATCACAAAGGACTATGAACTTGCTGTGTCCTTTCTACAGGGGCTGAGGATCAAAGCTGTGATGTACACTTGGATGTAGGCACTTAGCATCCATGTTTCTAACACTTTCTCTCTCTTTGGTCTGCTTGCTCCTTTGCTTTTTCCCTCCATTCTGGGTAGGAGCCAAGAGAACAGGAAGGTAGAGGAGGAGCGTGTTCAGCAGGATTGCTTTCTCTTCTAAACACGATCTCTGGAAAAGGGGCCTTCTGCTTCAGGACTTTCATGCCTGATTAGTGTGATGTTTGACTCTGCATTTGGAAAGTACCCATGTGGCTTTGTGGTTTCTGCAGGGAGCTTTTGTGTGCTGAAGACTTGCCCGGTGAAGTAGGCTCACCATGTGAAACTAAACTGGGCCAAATTGAGAAATTTTGCCAGCTAGGTGGAGCTCCCCCACTAAGTTTCTTCCTGTCTTGATTTGTACAACCTTAATCACTATTGCTGAATCTGAGAGTTCACTTAAAAGATGGCCAGTTTACACAGACTAAATGTGAGACAAGCTCTCTGTTTGCCACAGGTGGAGGTGTGTACACAGGAATCCAGGGATGTATGGATCTGCATTGTTGTTGAGCCTCTATCTCTCACTGGTGTTTTCATTCAGTGCAGTCCTGGAAGTGCTGATGACACTTTGAGTAGTTTTCTTTGTGGATAACAGAATTTTAAAAATACTTTTCAATTACCAAAATATAGTCTGTAGTTTGCTGTAAGATAAACTTACCACTTTGCTATAACAAACACGTCATAGCAAAACTTACTCTTCCCCCTACAATCAAAAAGGGATTCTGTAAACTAGGCATTTTTTGTTTCCATACTTGCTGGGTCTCTAGAGAGCACAAATCAGGAGATTTCTGTCTATGTGCGATGAGGATGAGACTTCCTATTGCAGCCTGAGATCTGAGGATCAGATGAAATTCACCACACATTTCTATTCTGTCTCCACAGTAAAAAAGATTGCAGAACATTTTAGGCATTGATCTACATTGAGCCACATAATTTTTCTGTTGGCCTTTAGTGGTGCTGAAGACGCTTAGTCTTCAGTAATTTTCAGTAAAGACAGGAAGTAAAGTTCAGTACATGGTTTTGCTGATAGTTCAGGAAGAAACGCAGAATCTAGACTGCTGTCTTATAGTGAATTTTTATTTTGGAAGAAGATAACTGCATTGTTGGGGCTGTGAGAAGAGCATAGTGTATATCCTTACCAGTGTTCAAAATAATGGATCTGATTTTGTTAAAAGCATGTGTGGGGTCAGTTACTGCTGTTCAGCTGTGGAGCAGTAATTGTTATATTCCAGTAATATGTTTGTTGTTTGCTGTGATATCCATATGGTGGAATAAAAAGTTATGGTTCTGGATTTGAAATATAATAAAATAGAGATGGTAAGAAACTAATTTCTTTTTCCACAGAGCTACTTTTCATAGTATGTTTGAAGTTTTAAGGACCCTGTTGAAGTATAATTAAGTAAAGCTTTTTGACGAAAAAATGAAATAGTGAACAAATAACTCTCTGTGCCTATAATCAAAGACATTTTATTGAAACCAAATTTCTCCAGCAGAAACTGATGTATATATGTTTCTACTCTAATATGACAGTAGACTGTAGCCTTATGTTTGATATGTATGAAGTATATTGAACCACTTGCAGTCATTGTTTCAATTCACCAAATAACCAATTAAAAGGAGAAAAACAGTATCATATAGCATTAAAACTGGCAAGTCCTTTTTTCTTTTTCCTGAGGGTATGCATACATTAGTGTAATGCTGAAATTACTTTAATTCCACCCGCATTGTGTAGGAAAAGTTTAAAGAGGTTGAAGAATCCCTTTAGTTCAAATGAAAGCAGTCTCTGAGATACCTGCTGACTCATTTCTGAAAAACAGTGCTCTGGGGAGTAGCAACCTTCTATTAGTTAATGTCTCATGTTTTAATCAGTAATGGTGGCACATTAACACATTTTGGGTATAAGATGAAACACCAGAAGGAGAAGGCAGGAATTTGGAGAAAATTTCAGTAAGTCATTTTCACATGCCTGATTTGGAATGGTAACTACATTTATGAAGTTGTGGAAAGAAGGATATTTAAATGCAATGCTAATTTAGTTTTATAAATACAGAATTATTATGAAACCAAAACCTATTTTTACATATTTGTCATTCCATAACATTGGAAAAGCTGTTGACCCTAAAGCATATGCAGTTGTTGAAACTTAGCAGCCTGTGGATTTATTCACAATTACAATTCCAATAACTTATTAACTGAAGATTTTTTAACATAGCGTGTAGAATGATCTCATGTGTTCTGTGCATTGAGCTTTATGTGTCTTCTCATCACAATGTAGACCTAAGCTATGCAATGATGACTTTTTCTTGTGGCCATGAGCATGTTTACATTTTGGAGAAAGATGAGGGTTTGGGGCCTTGGTTTCAAGGAACTGATTCAATCTTCTCTGCAACCTAACTGCAGTCTTTCATCTGATGATTTTGAGCTGAAGGGTGACCTGATGTTCATTGGGTACCATTGACTGTTGGTTCAAGGCAAACATTCAAAGCATTTTCTGCATCAGTGACTAAGGATTTATGTCAGTACCATAAGTTTGGGTTAGAACAGTTAATTTAACAACAGGATTATTACTTAAAATAAAAAAAAAACAAACAAATTTGACTACTTATGCAGAGCTGTGCAGAAAGATCTTCATGCTCTGGACAAAGTCACCAGAATATGCTAATACAAGTGTTCTACTTTTCATGGAATCAAGGAATTACAGAACTACAGGACAATATGAGTTAGAAGGAACTTTTAAAGACCATCTAGTCCAACCCCCTGTCCCACGGGCAGGTATATCCTTCACGAGATCAGGTTGCTTAAAGCCCTGTCCTATCATAGCATGGGTCCCCGCTGGGCAATAATTAGCATTAACTCCATGATTCCAGAAGGCTGATCAATTGCTTCATTTTACTATACTATATTATACTTCTAAGAAACTCATTGCCCATGCAGACAGTCCAATACAGCTTTGACCAGATGGGTCAATTGAATCCAAACACCATCACCAATGTCCAATTAAGAAATCACCCTTTGGTAAACAAATCTCCACAACACATTCCACATGTGCACAACAACAGGTGCAGCAAGTGAAGATAAGAATAATTTATCATTCTTTTCTCTGATCTTCTCACAGCCTTCCCCAGGACAATGCCTGGGAGAGTTGTGCCTGCTGCTCTCTGTGAAGAGAGCTGCGGCCACACCGTCCCTTCTGACTTTGAACACTTCCAGGGATGGGACATCCGCAGCTTCTCTGGGCAACCCATCCCAGGGCCTCACCACCCTCATCATCAAGATACTTCTTCATTACTTGCAGTCGAAATTTACCTTGTTTCAGTCACTTGCTTTGTTACTACAGGACTTGGTTAAAAGTATCTCTTTTAACTCAAAGTATAAGCCCTTGAAGTGTCGTGTTTCACTATACTCTAAAGCACGCTCAAAAGCTCTCAGTAAGATTGGCTGTCGATAGCAATGAGTGCCATGATATTACATGCCATGGGGAAGAGTCGTTAGTTTAAAAACACAATGGCAAAGATGTATCAGAGCAACTTATAAAGAAAAGTTTCTCTTAGTGAACTTCTCCGCTTCTGGAGCTGGCACTTCAGTGTTAGTGATTTTCTATTTCTCTAGACTCACAGCCGAGAATTTAAATGACATAAGCTGCTAACGTTTCAAACCAAACAACAAGGCTGTACATTTGACTGGAGAAGTTTGACTATATATTTTTTGAAAACCTTGAAAACTGAAGATGATGGAAATTTTGCCTTTAGGTAAAGGCATCACTGATGTAACGGAATGATTTCTTACCTGTTGGCACAATGACATCACTTTCCTCCTGGGCTGCCATAATCAAATTGCAGAATAATGGAATAGTCAAGCT